TCTTGTTACTAAACACTGTTTATCCCTTATTATTATTATTTTAAGTGAGAGTTTAGGTATCATTTTGCATTTATTTTTCATTCTTTTTCAATACCTGACATTTTGCTTTTTGACTTTGCAAATTTGGAGGTTGACTCTGGATGTTATTCTGATATAGGCATTCTCTTGTTGTTGGAAGGCAGAAATTAGAGAGTGGCCGTCTATCTATCCATCTCCAGCATCTTTCAAATAGTCCACAAATCCTTATAATCTCTTATGATCTTGGTTGTGAATCTGGTGATGAGCCAGTTGACAAAACCTTCTTTCAACCTTTGAGGTGGAAAAGTTTTTCACATGTCTGCACAGCACCACTTGTTCCCTTTGATAATGAGGCCTCAGCCACTGTAACAAAAGGCTTGGCTTGAGTTCAGGCATGTGAAAAGGAGAAAAATTCTTTACTCGAGGCTTGGATTTTCTTTGGTGGAACCTATAGAAATTTACAAATCAGAAGAGGATGTATCTCAGAAGAGGGGTCAATTGCACCCTAGTGGTCGCTTAATTTACGATCCTTTCTGAATCTTTTTTTCCGAGTTTTTGATATCTTATGAATAAAAAATTGTAAATTTTTTTAATGATTTCTCAAAGAATCAAATATTAAATCCTTGAAAAATTGTCAAACAAACTTAAAATTGAACGATTTTTTGCCCATAGAAAGAAACTAAAAAAATTGGGAAATTCCTCAAAATTCGAGGGGCCAAGAAGACACACCCTGATATTGGGTGGTCATTGGAGCCAAACTTTGAAGAGAGGGAGGCAAACATTTTGGGCCTTCAGTTGCAGGATATGATTCCTTCTTTTCTAGTGAATACCTGCATGAACAAAAATTTTGCGTTTTTGCACTGTAATGAAGTTTGTTAGTTTTCGCTTGGTGCTGCCAATGGGGTTCCTTATGAATCATCTGGTTGTTGCCACGTTGGGTCACATTGGAAATTTAGCAATTTGACACCATTAGAGAAGGAGGAATGCTAATCCATAAGGACTATGCCCATGTCACAATTACTACAAATACCTCTAGCTGAATTCGTCTTGCTTTAAAATAAGCTGCAACTACTACTTATTGGGTCCTTGTCTGAGTTTGTGTTGGAGTGATTTTAATTATTTTGGATTCAGTTCTGTTTTTGGTTATGAAAACAGAGGTGAACAGAGCATATCAAAGTGTGTTTGTTTTCTTTGGATTACCAAAACCTCCCTTCTTTTGGACTCATTCCCAAGCCTATTCAGCATGAACAGTAAACAAACGCACAACTCTGAATATCAATCTATTACCAACTGAGCAACTTCCCGATCTTTCTGCTATAACTTCCTGACAAATTTTTGAAGCCAAACCTTAATCTCTGTGGCTCTGATTTGACATTCTTGACTACATACAGCTTCAAACAACATTTATTATAATCCTTCGGGTCCAAAAGACAAGATGAAAATAAGGATGTGAACCGCTTTGTTTCAATTCATGCTATCCATTTCCTTCTTGCTACCATGATCACTCCCAACAGACATCCCAATGGCTTCTACTTCCCCGTATATATCTATGAAGCTTCTCTCTTGTTCTTATTATCTTACTCTGGAAAACACTTGTGTACGATTTTTGCGAAGGGAGAAAAAGCAACCGGCACAAGACAAGGAGGAAAGGTTTGAAGAAGACATAAATGTCATAGCAGGAAACACAGTCACGGGGCTTCACATTCGTCTGTTTCTAAATCTTTTTCCAGGTACTCGTTCAAAAGTCTCATTTTGGCGTTCGGTTTCTGTATGGGTTTTTTTGCATAATACTACTACATAAATTCTTATCATAATCCATTTCTCCATCTCTATCAGAATTCCTTTTGGTCATGGCCTCTTACGTGTTGCGTTTTATGGCTCTATTTTGTTTTTGTCATGTGGTCAGCAAAGTTATCCACTCATCTCCCGAAGTAAGCAACTCCAAGCCTTTTAGAAATACAAGGACTAACGCTCCAATGGGACAAACTTAGAAGAATCAAAAAGCACGCTCTAATATTAGGGACTAAAATTAAAATAAAAAGAAAGTATAAGCACACTAATGATTATACTAATCCAAAATTATAAGAAAAATTATAAGCACACTAATGATTATATTAACCCAAAATCATAACATAAAACAAAGGACATAGCGTACAATCTTATGGCAATGTTTATGGATAAACAGTAAAAATATTCAAACCATAGTGCTTGAGAGGATACATGACGGTGCAATCTGAGAGAATATAGGAACATGGCAACACTAACTATAACATTTACTCACTCATTTATTTCCAGAAATTTTATCTTCAATATATATACACAAACTCTGTTATTCACCTGAAAAGGAAAATTCTTAGGCGCCCACCTTCGACGCCCGCCTGCAAGATGTTTTAGAATGATAACCTTTTCTTAAACGACACACTCAGATATTAGCCTGCATGAAAAGTTAGCAAGGGGAAAAAGTTAATTGGTGAAGGCTCTTGACAATTAAAAAAATACCACCTCTTATCTTTAATATAAGATCTCATTTAATTTTTATTTTGATCTTAAATATAAGATCCAAATTCATTTTATCTTTAATATTTATATATTTTTTCTCAAGATAGTCCTTCTAATAATAGTAATTCTAACCAACACATTTGATTAACAAAGATATTTTAAGAAATACAACACCTATTTACTACAAACAACCTTAATCTCCTCGAATTAGTCATCTAACTCTTATAATTAGAATTAGATGTAGTATAATATTGCAGCTGATGAACACAATTAATCCATCCGTTTATATTTCTTGTTAATATTCTATAAATCAATAAATTTGTTTAGCAATAATTTTATGCCTGTTAGTCACTTGTAAATTTTCTCACGTGTTGCTTTTCAAAATAAAATTTATAATTTAATGGATGTGTCTGTATATATATGTGTACTTTGATTCAAAAAATTATGAAGGCAACCTTTTTTTTAGGTGATCTTTAAACAGCAAAGACTTGCTCAATATGTAGGTTTGAATAATGAAACTTGCGATTGCAATCCATCATAATATAAAAATAAACAATATACTTCTCTAATCTTAAATATAAAACTTTTTTTATGATATAATTTATTTAGAAAATAGTTCTAAATATTGTGTATCAATAAAAGGTATTTGAAAGGATGAAATAAAAGGTACTCACAGATATAAGTGCTTCGGCGTAGCCGCCCAAGTCGAGGTCCAAAACGAGAGGCCCGATCTCTTAGCGCGCCGAGGCAAAAAATTAATCAGCTAAGGAATTGATTAAAAAAAAAAACCAAAAAGAAAAGATACTGCAGCAGATGAACACAAATAATTGCTATGGAATGGTTCAATGCCCGTTAGTCTCCTTTAAATTTTCTCTTATGTGTTGCTTTTCAAAACAAAATGTCATTATATTATTTTTATGTATAATTTAATATATGTGTATGGGTAATTTTCTTACGAAAAAAGTAGTTTTTTCAAAAAATATATATACAAGAATTTGTATGCATCTATCATTTACTAAAAACATTAGATCTTGAACACCACTTAGAATTCAATGCTGGGTCTTTGAAGTATCTTTGATTAACTACATTAATAAACTATAGTTAATTATTCCTCGTGTAAGTTTTACGCTATGTTTGGTACGGGGTTTTCGGAGGGGAGGGGAGGGAAGTTGCTCCCCTCCCCTTGTTTGGCTGGTATAATTTTTAGGAGGGGAGGGGAGGAGCTCCCCTCCCCTCGTTTGGTTAAGATGTTTTTTAAAGAGGGGAGGGGTTCTTCTCCCCTCCCCTCCCCTTCTAGCCTCCCCTCTAAAAGTGGGGTTTTTTGGAGGGGAGGTGAGAGATGATATTTTAATTCCTTATATGCCCTTTCGATTTGTTAACCTCTAATCAATCATAAACATTTCTACATAATAGAGTTCTTTTGAGCATCTAATAAGAGGTTATTAAGATAATTATCTCCAAAATTAGTGAGCATTTGTAAACTTTTTTTCTCTTCTTCTAATTCTAAGAGGCCGTTGGTATTTTCTTTCACCTTCAAGGTCTTTTCTCTGATTGAAATCTATCACTTGTGACTTTTTGTCTTGATATTCTATAAGTGTGTGACTGTATCTTGTAAATCAAAATTAGTGAATTGTATTATATATATATAGTTATATCTTAACAAAATAAAAAGTGAGAAAATTCATTTAAATTTTATGAGGCTAAAATAGTCAAATTTTTTTTAGAACAAAATAAGGTATTATTAAAATTGCTCCCTCCCCTCCCCTCCAATCAATCCAAACAGGAGATCATTAAAATCCCTCCCTCCCTTCCCCCTCCCTCCCCTTCCCTTTGTAGCTACCCTCCCCTTTCCTCCCCTCCCCTTCCCTTGATTAAAATCCCTCCCCTCCCCTTCCCTCCGTCGAACCAAACATAGCCTTAATAAATTTATTGCATATAATAGCTTAATGGTTTTTAATTAGGCATGAAAAAGAATAATTTATATCAATTTTTGCCAAATACTCATTAAACTCCTTTATTAAATAATAGAAACAGACCATACAAAAGCCTAAGCTAAAACAAAACAAAGGGCACAAAACCCACAACCAGCAGACAGCAACCCAAAAAACTTCAAACCAAATAATAAAAAATATTTTGTTTCAAAATATTTACAAATTTATTATTTTTCTTTATTTTCAGTTCTATATGGAAGAGGACGTATGCAGGTAAGCATGACAATATTATCAAAATTTTCTTACATGCTATTTGTACTTTTTTGGTGAAATATGCTATGAGTACTTTAAATTAAAAATTCTACGTTTTTTTTATGAACAAAAATTCTACAAATTTTAAAACGTCGTGATATCCATATGAAATATTGGGAAAACAAATTATTCAAAGATTTAATAATCTCGTGATATATATTTATATGCATGCCGCTCTTGGGTCAATTAGAAGATAGATTAGAATTTGCATGGAAGTGTGAATAACTTTGCTCTAAAGCTTTAACTGATTGCATTTAGTTGGGAAAAGTAATTACCTTTTTTCAATTTTGAAGAAAGAAGATGCTTGGTAGCTTCGTCTTCCCATTCCAACTGATCCAACCACCGATCATCAAGAGAGCCCACAGAAAAGCGTTGCAGATTATTCAATGCACTTTGAGAATTAAATGGGAGCTTCTTCAAATTGGGGCAGTTCGTTACTTCAATCACCTTCAAACAAGGAAACTGTATTGCCATTTTACAAATGCTCCTTAATTTCGTCAGATCTTCCAACTGAAGATAAGTGAGACTGCAAAATAGAGTACTTTTCTGCATCTCAGTGCCAAAATCTTGACTACTTATAACTTCCACCAATGAATCACAAGAGGCTAGTTCGAGGAATTCAAGGTTTTGAGCATGTATAAGCCAGCTCAAGTCAAGTATATTACCACACCTGTGGAGAACTAACTTGCAAAGGGTGATTCTATAGTCAGGTCCCCAAAATGAGCGCCTCGGAATATCCACAGCTTCAGAATAATAAACTCGTAATGTTTCAACATGCTCCATCTTTCCAAGTGATGAGAACAAGTCGTGGAGTGATGAGTGTACTCTTTCAACATGTAGCTCACATATGCGCCTTTGCAATTTTGAGGAGATCAGTATTTTTTCAATAGAGGATGTGTTAAAGACAGCAATGCGTATATCCTGAAGATGATCTAAGCTTTCTAGCTCATTCAACAACACATTTTCATCAATCCCTCGAATTTCTGACCATCTCATGCTAAAAGCTTGAAGGGATAACAAACCGGATATAACTTTCTCTGGGAATTCAAGCCATTCTGTTTCGTCCAGCAAGGAGCCCCCTGGGACAAAATGCACTCTTATTCCGTCCAACAAGATCTCTCGGACTGAACGCACTCTTATTCCGTCCAGCAACAGGACCTTCAGCTTCTTCAAATTCTTCAACTCCTCTGGCAATTTTCTTATACCAGTATATGATAGGTTCATGTGTTCGAGGTTTACAAAGTCCCCTATTTCTGATGGTACATCTTTTATTTCCCAATTAGAAGAAAGGTCCAGAACTCTGACAGTACTTGGAAGGACGAATACCTCAGTTGGAAAGACTTTTATCCAAGTATTTCTAATAAGCAGAGTCACGAGATTAGGACAATGAGGTTTTTGTGAGAAGTTTCTGCTCACATCAGCCTTGCCCCACATTGATAGCTTTTCTACCTCTTTCCACATCGGATGATTGTATACTTCAAGCCCACTTGTCTTGGAATAATCTCTTACAATGAATCTTGTCGTTTCCTTGTGATCACAAGCTAGCCAGAGAGCTGTATCTCTGATCACATCATGCATCTTAATTGTATCTTCTTCCTCACCATTTTCCAATAAGCAAGCATACTTTAGACGTGAAATTATATCTTCTCCTTGCTTATGTGCTTCATGAATATCATAATCAGATTTAGCCAAAAAGCCTTCAGCAATCCAGAGCAAAATAAGCTCTCGTTTTTCAATGTTATAGTCCTCAGGGAACAGAGCACAATACAAAAAGCATGATTTGTAGGTATCATTTGGCAATCTATCATAACTGAATTCAAGTAAGTGATAGACTTCATCAACTATACCTTGGACCTCTGAGGGATTCCTCCTCAAAATTTCTAAACTACGCTTCCATTCATCAGGAGTCTCTTTACTAGTCATGGCACGTCCAACAGTACAAAGAGCAAGTGGCAAGCCTTTGCATTCTTTCACCACTTGCTTTGCAAGAGGCAATATATTAGGTTTTTCAAGAGTAGTAACGCCCACTTTCTCCTTGAACAAGTCGTATGCTTCATCTGGTGGGAGGCAATTTACTGGGATGCTTCCATCTGCATCCGCACCCATTTGACCGCAAACCACTTTTAACCGAGTTGTAAATATTATCTTGCATTCATGATTATTAGGGAAAGGAACCCCCAATTTCAACAGGTCAATCCAGCCCCACACGTCATCTAATAATAACACAAATGCCTTGTTCTTTAAGATATTGCATAACAGAACAGCTCTTTCATCCACCGTCTTATTATCCCAAGTATCATCTGGGACATTCAATTTCTTCCAAATGGCATCTTGAATTTTTCCTTCATTTGCATCTTTCGATGCTACAACCAAGATGACTACGATGTTTGCTTTTTTTGAGAGGAAATCGTTGTTGAATTTCCTGAGCAGACTCGTTTTGCCTACCCCTCCCATTCCCCACAAACCAATGATGCCTCTCGGATTGTTCTCAAAGCATGAACATAGCTTCTCAAATGTTGATTCTACCCCTACAAGCTTAGCCACAGGAAGTTCATCGAACCTATAACGGGGAATCTTTTCTGCTACATCATCAAAATGGCCTTCGCTTTTAAGATCATCAACGTCACTCAGCTTTTGGTCAACCATATTTTGTAGCTTGTAGATAGCCCAACAATTCTTGGGACAATGACCTCCGAAACATTTGGCTTGTATTTCTCGACGACCTTGCTTCACAATTTCTTCGACTTCCTTTCGTAGCTCTTCTTCTCTGCGCATCCAACCCCTCACCCGATTCAAAACCGTCAGCCTTGGGTTCTGCTCTGCTGCTTCGACCTTCATCTTGACATCACGATACATATCATCGAGTTGCTTTGAAGCACTTTCCAAAGAGTTGAGGCTTTCTCCAAGATTGCGTATTGAATCGGCCCATTTGGCGCAATAACCACACAAACAAGTTAGGATGTCAATAACTAGAGGAATAAATTCGGACATGGTTTGGTCAGGGTGCACCAAAGATGCAGTGAAGATAAAAATTGAGAAGGAGAAGATAGAAATGCAGTGAATGACAGATAGCTACGTTTGGCTATCAGTCAGAGAAAGCTTTAAGGACGATACTTAAAGTGGATTCGTAGCTATCAGTCAGAGAAAGCTTTAAGAAAGATACTTGAAGTGGATGACCCAACCTGCAGCTATTGAAAAATTACAGTAAACAATTTTTAATAATTTAAATTAATTAGACGGTCTATGATGAAATTAAGTTTCACCATCAACGGTCTAAAACTGCGTTCTTTGTTTTATTTTAATTTTATTTAAATTGATGGTTATCCTTCCCTCTAAGAGAAAACGATATCTCTATATATGCTAATATTTTAATTTATTGAGTGAAAACCACTATTGGGAATTTGTATCGGTAAAATCCCTTAAGAATTTTTTACTCGACAAGATTTTTTGTAGTATATGTCGGCGTTTGATTTTCCTTTTGTTCGTCTATACTCCTTTAGTTCTATTTATAAGGTACTTCCAGCATATTTCACACAGACCAAAAAAAACCTTAAACTTCATTAACTCTCATTTAAAATTTAATAACTTTTCAACTTTATCGTTATTTAATATACATTATACCTCATATAAACAAAGTCAACACAATAATAAATGAGGGGTAAAATTGTATATCCATACAAAAAATTTTCTCAGTGCCCTATAAATAGGACCAAAAAATACATTCTCTCTCTGTCCTATAAATAAGACCAGAGGAGTATTATGTAATAAAGAAGATATTTTATATTCTAAAATAAATGAATAGACAATCTAATCGCTGTTCTTTCTATGCATGCTTAGAGCAAATTAAAGTAGAGGAGACCGAAAAGTAAAGCTGGGAAAAACAGAGAGAATAAATTGCATTTTAAGAGGTGTTTGGATGAAACCAAACTATAATTTGAAAAATAGCTTCTGAAGAATAGAGTTTGTGAAAAAGTGATTCTGAAAAGTGAGAGTGTTTAGATAGTTATTATCATAAGCACTTTTTATATATACAAATTATTAAATAAAAGTATAAGTTAATATGATCATTACATAAAAAATAGATTTTACAATACATTTTAATTTGAAGGAATAAAATTGTTAATAATATATTTTTTACCAATTAATAATACATAAGATAATGTAATTAATAAATAATTAATATGTGTATATATATTTATAAGATATAAGATTAAATATGTTTATAAAAAAATAATTGAGGGATGTTAAAGTCATATTATTGTTGAGATTTATTCTCATAGATACAATCATACTCTCCAATTTGAATTAGAAGCAGAATAAATTTACTTCTCCTGAAACCATGGTTTTGAGTTCCAAAACTATGGTTTTGGCCCAAATTATGATTTCAGATTATTGGTCTAAAATTAATACTGTTTGGATGACATCCCATCCAAATTATAATTTTGCCTCCCAAATCATGAATTTGAGGTGCATCCAAACATGCCCTTACCCGACTTTACCATGAAGAGAAAAATAGAAAGGACAAAAAAAAAAAGAACAGGACGGAAAATGGAACCTACAAACTGCAAGGCCTCCGCAAAAGCACTCGTGACTTTTTCAAATGTGAGGACCCCGAACTTTTTCTCTCGTGTCCACAAAGCTAAGCATTTTTTGGAGCCTTTATAGGGACAGGTGCCACCGGACTTATCACCGTTACAAAGCACCACTGATTTCAAGCTTATCTTCACCAGATTAAATAATTATTTTCTTGCACGCCTTAGATCTGGATTAGTATAGGGATGTTGTCACGAAAGACGCTTATTTTCCTGGGATATCAGATAGAAAAATCCAAAAAAAAAATATTTGTTTCCTTGTTATTGCAGTTTAAGGTGACTAGGTTTGGACGCTGTGGAGTATTCCGAATTTCTGTTACTTCTCATATCTATTTCATTTTCTTTATTCCTGTGGTCCTACCGTTGATTTCAACTATTGTTATGCTTGCTTACCTAACGTTTTATTTGGCTCAACAGAGTTTAGGAGAAGGGAGGAGCGGGATCTTAACAATCCCGTTTCAAATGATTGGAAAAAAAGGAAAGAACATTAATGATACCTGCTTAGGAGAGAACCAAAAGGGAGCTAATAAAACAACTAACTATTTTAATGAAATAAAATTTAAATGAATGTTTCTCGATTTTCTATTTTATTAGTTTATAAATGTGTATAATTTAATTTATCAACTTTGACTTTCCATAATAAAAATTATTCATTATTTATAATACCGTAAAGTGTTTTTTAAATGGAAACAAACACCCTAAACTTAGGATACCGAGTGCAAATAAAAAATCTTTTAGGACGCTGGATGCATAAAATTACTTTAGAATATTAGATGTCATTTAAAAAAAAATTCATGATGTTGAATGCACATAAAAATTATTTTTTAAAATTGCTTTGTTATGCTTGCTTACCTAACGCTTTATTTGACTCAACTAATTTGCAAAAGCACGAAATCTTAAAATTATATGCTTTATTTGTCGGATAGCAATGTTTGGCTATCAGTTGGAACTAATGAAAAATTACGGTAAACAATTTTTAATAATTTAAATTAATTAGACGGTCTGTGATGCAATTAAGTTTCGCCATCAACGTTCCGCCATGAACGGTTTAAAACTGAGTTCCTCATTTTATTTTAATTTTATTTAAATTAATGATTATCCTTTCCCGTAAGAGAAAACAATATCTCTATATATGCTAATTTTTTAATTTATCGAGTGAAAACCACTTTTGGGAATTTGTATCGGTAAGATCCCTTAAGAATTTTTTACTCGACAAGATTTTTTGTAGTATACTACATGTTGGCATTTGATTTTCCTTTTGTTTGTCTATTTTACGTAATAAAGAAGATATTTTATATTTTAAAATATATTAACAGACAATTTAATCTTTATTCTTTTCATGCATGCTTGAAGAAAATTATAAGATACTCTAAATTATATTGGAGGGGTTGGATTTTTTTTATAAAACAGAATTTACATTTTTCTAAATATTTAATAATTTTTTTTAAATTTTACCACCATATATTTTTTTCCTCTTTACTGTTTAGTTTATTTATTGCATTTTATAGTCATACTTTCTATTTATAAGGAATTTTTTTAAAAAATATATATTTTATATATTTATTATTTTAAACTAATTTTATCTAATAGTGCAAAGCCTCTGCAAAAAATAACCCGTAATTTGATGAGTACCAAATTTTCTAGAACACACAGAAGACAAAGAAATTGCATGTGATTTAAATAATTTTTCAAAGGTGCGGACCCCAAACTTTTTCTCTTGTGCCCAGTTGCCCGCAAAGCTGAGCATTTTTTTGAGCCTTGAGGGGGACAGGTGCCACCAGTATTAATTTCATGCTTATCTTCAGTAGACTCTTCAATATCAATAATGTGACAATGAAATGGACCTCAGTGCTCTGTGCTCAGTGGCCACCTCAGTTAAGAAGAAAAATTCTTTTATACTTTGTGAACCCGGTTTTTTTTCCCCCAAGTGTTTACATTAGCTGTTATTTCAAAAAGATTTTACAATGATGAGTGCACAAAAGATTATTTTAATTGCTGAAAAATAATTTAGATTGTGGAATGTTATCTGGAAAAAACTCAAAGTATTTTACACAAAAAAAGGGCATAGTTTTTTTTTTTTGAATGAAAACTGGATTCAAAAGAAACAAAAGTACAGCCAAACTAAACGAGCTAACACTCGTCATCAAGCTCCTCCTCCTGTTGCATAAGAGGTGGAGGTTGATCAAGAGTACAAAAATTGCCTTCCATCGTGTGAGATGATTTGGCCAAATAGTCAACAATTCCTAAGTTCTCCCTAAAGGTGTGGCTAATAATCACTTGCCAATCCCTACAAAAGAGCATCCTACAATCATTTACAAGGTCTCTAAAAGGGTGGTAGTTGTTACAACCTTTGAGGACCAAATTTAAAGCCTCAATACAGTCAGAATAAAGGCAAATGTTTTTGAAACCCTTAGACCAGCAAATGTTAAGCCCATGGATAATACCAAGTAATTCCGCTATTGCAGGCGGAACCTTAGTGAGCTTACATTTGAAGCCCAGTATCCATCTGCCTTCCTTGTCAAGGGCATAGTTTCGAGTAGCAGAGGGACAACGCACAATTTAAAAAAAAAAAAAAAAAAAAACGGCTTGTTGCTGACCAAAAACTATCCCGTCGCTATGTTCCATCTTCTGAAGTTATAATCCTCAGGAAATAAGACACAATGCCAAAAAACCCATGATTTGTAGGTATCATCCAGTAGTCTGTTATAACTAAGGTACTACAAAAAAAACATTAAATTAGTAACCAAATTTAATGACAGAATTTTTGTCACCCATCAAAATTAGCAACGGATTAGCAATGAAATTTAATTGGCAACGGAATTTTTGTGTCACTAATTCCACTGTTACTAAATAATTAGTGACGGAATTCAAAATTAGCAACGGAAATTAGTGATGAAAATTTTCCGTCACTAATCAGTTCCTAATTATGACTGATATCCCACACAAATTCTATCACAAAATAGTGAGGTATTTATGATGGAAATCATCACTAATCTGGCATTGAATTTTTTTATTTTGTAAATTTAAAATACCACTTGGTAACCATTGATTGCCACAATGTGTCATGTTTGTGACTGTTACCTCCTCTCTTTCTCATGTTGGCATGTCATCCCCCTATCCACATCTTCGTCGTCGTGTGTCCATGGACTTTTGAAAAATTACCGAAAACAAAGTTTGATATATTTTTTTTCGGGTGAAAACAGTCTTCCATAATTTGAACTACTCATAAGTTGTATAAAACAGCGTTCTTTGTTTTCTTTTAATTTTATTTAAAGTGATGGGTATCCTTCCTTGTAAGAGAAAATAATATTTCTATATGCTAATATTTTAATTTATTGAGTGAAAAACCACTTCGTGGAATTTGTATTGAACCCTTAAAAATGTTTTACTCAACAAGAT